GCCGAGCAGGGAGCCCGATGTGGGACTCGATCCCGGGACTCCAGGATCATGACCTGAGCGGAAGGCAGTTGCCCAACCAACTGAGCCACCCAGGCGCCCCTGAAGCTTCATTGCTTTCAAAGCTCACCTCAATTTTCACTGGGGTCCCCAGCACCATTGTCTTCTCCTGGATACTCTTTCCAAACTGAGGGTAGTGGTCATTGACATCCAGGAGAGTGACGAACACCTCAGCCAGGCTGTATTTGCCCTCCATGTCCTCTGCCTTCACGTAGAAGTTGTACCTGGCCGTGGCCTCAGCGTCCAGGCTGGCCCAGGGCTGAGTGTAGATGATCCCGGTGGATGGGTGGATCAGGAAGCTGCCAGGCATAGGGAGCTCAGGCTTGGGAGTGCACAAGCACAGGAGTGTGCATGGAGGTACGAGTGTGCATGCACACACACACACACACACACACCCCTGCAGGAGTGACCTACCTCCAAAGCGTTATGCAGCTTCTCCAAAGTAGCCCACCTGACCCTCTCTCCGGCCCTGCAGTCTGACTGCGGGAGGCAGGCCCACCCATCTACTCATCCACGTATTAACCCTGAACTTAGCTGGACTCAGACTCACCCTCTCCACCCAGGGCCTGCCCTTCCCTAGCTCCAGGCCATGATGGTGACCCTTCTTCTCTCAGATCCCAGAACCTTTGCCTCGGGCTCTCTGCTTCCCTTTCCCTCCTTGGGCTTGTGCTCATTTTTCCAACCTAGGTTCTATCCTTTCCAGGTCCCTCCTGCCTTCCGCCCAGATTCCCTCTGCCCCCTGCCTCCCAAATCCCTTGTCCGAGGCCCTGTCCAGGATTCCGGATCTACTTACGGGTCTGCCCCGGACCCATAGATGGAGTATTTGACTTCGCCCCACGGACCTGTGTCTGGATCTACAGCCTGGAAGAGAGAAAGGTCCTAGAGGTCCCTGCCCTTTGTCGGGGCATGTTGGCAGCTCATGTGCCTGAGGGCTGCTTTCCATGGCAATACAAGGGGCTTTGGGGTTACCCAACTGGGGAGAAACTTATCTAAAGGACTGCTCTAGAGCCCTAGTTTTCTATCCGGGAGGTCTCAACTGTTGGAGGAACCAAAAGGTTTAGATCTGGAAGGCATGTATCCCTCCTTTGTAAATGAGGAAGGAAAAGATGGGTCCTGTGCCCTGACTTTAGGGTTTATGCCTATGTCCTCCTTAGAGTCCTGAGAGGTATTGTTACCCCATTGTACAGAAGAAGAAACTGAGCCTCAGAGAGGTTAGGTAGCTTGTCTAAGGACACAGTTAATGAGTTTGGGCTTTGCGATTCAAATTGGAACCCAGGTTTGTCTGATTTCATCAGACCCCCTTCAGTGGGGGCTCCTAACCCCAGACCCAGTCCCCATGCTAGTTCCCAACACACTGTGACAGCCACCACGTTGGAGCCCCCTGGCGCATTCTCAGGGATCCTGGCAATGTAGTAGTGGGAGGTAAACTTGGGGACATTGTCGTTGGTGTCCAGGAGCTGGATCACAACATCTGCTGTGGAGCTGAACTTCTCTGGAGTGTTCACTTCAATGGCCAGTAGCTGGGGAAGGAAAGAAAATAAGGACTTGTCTGGGTGGGGGTCACCAAGCAGAAAGCCTTCCCACTTCTGTCTCAGCAGGGTCCAGCACCAGCCTGCCTTGCTCCGCCTTACTCTCAGTCTCCAGCCTGCGATGCCTTCCACCACCTGCAGGGGGCACCTCTAAGGCCCACTGTCTTGAAAGGCCTGCTTTCTTGCAGTTCTTAGAGTTGTATTTGGGCCAATTTCTTTTGTCCCATTGATTTGCATATTCCTTTTTAGTTTCAATTTCAAAAGTTATTTTGTTATATAATATAATTTAATACTTGTTAGGGAAGTTCCTGCCTCATATTCTTTCTTTCTGTTTTCCTGACTATTCTTACAGGTTTATTTCTCCAGATACAAAAACCAGTGTAATTACGTTAAATTCCCTCCACCTCACCAAAGGAAATTCCAGGTAAGACTTAGTTGAAATGATATTGGATTCTTTATTCACTTGATAAGAATTTGCATTTTTTAAACAAGATGCGCCTTTGCATTTCTTGCTTTCTTTATATCTCTTTGTTAAATTCTTGTGCTTTTTGTTATTTAGATGCTGCATATTTCTTATTATCCTCATTCCTAGGAATGTTATCTTTTAGTTGTTATTATAAAAGAGGATCTTTTATTCCATTATTCTCTTTGCTATTTTTCATATGTAAGAACACTCTCAAATTTTGTGTATTAAGTTTGTAATCAATCATGTTAGCAACTTTGCTGTGTTTGTTTTTCCAACATTTCTTAGATTTGTCTAAGCAAACAATAACACCATCTACAAATAATGATAATTTTGTCTCTTCCTTTCTAATGTTCATACCTCTTATTTCCTTTCTTTATCCAAGGAATAACGTTACTCCAGGAATAGTGCTAAATAATGTGATAGCAGGCATCCACAATTTGTTCCTGACTTCATAGGAAGCTTTTAGAATTGCACTTTTAAGCATGATGTTCGCTGTAGTGGTATGTATGTATAATTATAAATAATTATAACCGTTTAAATAATATCAATGAGGTATGTTTTTCCTTTTTATTAATATATAGTATTTATGTTTATATATAATAGTCATTATTTACATATGTTCATAATTTTAAACAATCACAGATACAAAGGAGTATTTTTTTCATCTTCTGCTAAAGTTTTTACCAGAATTGATGACAGATGTCAAATGCATGTGAGAAATATGTTTATCTTGATAATCAAATAGTATTTCTGTCTCAATCTATTAACATGGCATCTTGAATGCTTTGCTTTCCTGGGACAGTCATAATTTAGGACCGGGACTCAGTGAGGCTATGTGAGCAGTGAGAGCAGGCTCTTGTACCCTCCCCTCTTCCCACCTCCCACTCATGCTCCCCAGTCAGCAGGAGGGGCAGAGGAACTGAGAGGAAAAAAGGAGGGCCAGGAGGGGCAGGAGGTGACAGGGACCCCTCAGTAATGAATCCAGGAGCTGCTATGAGCTCCTAGGACCCCCCCTCCCCCCCCATCCAGGGCGGTGCAGAGCATCACCTACCTTAAAGGTTAGCACTTTGAACTTTTCAAAGTCAATGGCAGCTGAGTTCTCCACAATGATGGTGACTTGGGCTTCATTCATGACTGTCAGTGGGACCACTCGGAAGATGCCCCCAGGTCCCACCAGCCGCAGGTTGAATTTGGCATTGGCTCCCTGGGCGACAGAGTTTGGAGGGAGGCAACGGGGAAGATGAATGAGAATAGAAACTCATTAGATAGTCATGCTAAGCGAGGAGACTTCCTATGCCCTTAACCCTGGCTGGTGAGTATTAGTCTTTCTTTCTGTCGGCCAGGCCATCGAGGATCAGAAAGATTTAGCAGGCTATGGAGACTAAGCCAGGTAATAAACACTTACAGCCTAGCCCTCTGCTGGGCAGAGGAGGTGATGGGAAGTGGTCACAATACCTCTCTGGAGGATCAAATACAGAGGGGCTTTTGTTTGGCTGGCTTTACTTTTTAATTGATTGTGAATGTCGTCAGGCTAAGCAGAGAGTCTTTGGTTAGCTACCCCATCTCTCCCCATCTCTCTCTCTTGGTTACACTCTCCTGTTTCATTCATTTTGTGACCCGCCAGGCCCCTGGCACATAAGCAGTGAAGGCTGATGAGCTCTCAGTTCAGGCCCCTTGGAAGACAGGGTGGAGGGCAGGACCACACACCTGGTCTGAGTCATTGACGGTGATCTTAAGGCCCCGCAGGATCTCTCCCTGAGGTGGGTGCTCATACATGGACAGCTCAAATCTGTTCTGGGGTCCACTCTCTCCATAGAATGTAGGCGGATGGTTGTTGAGGTCCACGATCCTGATGGTGACTGGGACCATGGCCTGGGCAGCTGGGATCCCTGCAGAGCTGACCTCAGTCACCTGGGGTGGGGACAGGTGGCTATTGCTGTGTGGCTGGAGACTCCAAGATGGCCCCACAGATCCCTGCCTCCAGGTATTCATCCTCTTGTATAATTTCCTCTCTTTAAGTGCGGCCTGCCCTAGCAACTTACTTCTGATAGCACATGGCAAAGGTGATGAGATATACTTAGTGATTAGACCACGTAGACTGTAACTTCTGTTTTCTAGCAGACTCTTCCCCTTGCTGGCTCTGATGAGACGAGTAGCTGTGTTGGAGAGGCTCATGTCTCAAGGAGCTAATGGTGACCTCTAGCCAACAGCACACTAGGAACTAAATCCTGCCCATAATCATGTGAGCCTGGAAGCTGATCCTTCCCCAGTCGAGTCTTCAGATGAGAACCCAGTCCCAGCCGACAATTTGATGGCAGCTACATGAGAGACCTTGAATCTGAGGACCCAGCTAAGCTGAGGCTGGAATCCTAGCCCACGGCCACTGTGAGATATAAATGTGTGCTGTCTTAAGTCACTAAGTTTATGGGAATGTTACAACAGCCACAGGCAACAATACAGTGCTAGTACTGACCCATTTCACAGATGAGGCACAGACGGGTGAAGAAGTCACCTGGGGTCACACAGCTAGTGAGTGGCAGAGCTGGAGCAGGAAGAACTCGGGTGTGTCTGATTCCTTAATCAGTGCTCTCTCCATCTCCCCACACTGGCCCCTCTTTGCAGCCAGACAGATATGGGCTCAAATTCCAGCTCTGCCACATTCTGTCCGGTGTCCATTTAGCCGTGGGAAGGCTGCAGGGAAGGGGGGCTGCAAAGCCGGGGCCGAGAATCCACAGGCTCTGTGTGAACCACTCCCTGTGACAGATACCATCAAGGACCTCCTTCCCCTTGTTCCATAAGCACGCTCTGGCCTTACCTATTCTAAAACTCCCACTCCCCAGACACCACTCCGTCACAGCCTAGCTGCTCTCCTGAAGCCCTTCTCAGAAGCCTACACCTCCATTTTTCCTAGTTCCTACTCAGTTCTCAGCGCATCCCCAACTGAGATACTTCACACTAATTTCCATGCTGCATGCAGCACTGTCACCTCCTTTGCCTTCCTGAGTGTCCTCTGCTAATGTGACTTTGCTCTGTGCAAGCTCCTCTCTACCTCTCTGATCTCTCCTGGGTCTCCTTCACCTGCTCCCACCCCCCCCTCCTCACTCAGCCTCCATGTGCCCAAGCTATGTCTTCAGCCAGTGTTCCTGTGTCCCCACAGCCATCCTCGGGGTGATCCCATTACCCAAACCCACCCTTCCACAGCCACCTGTATGCTGACACTGTCTCCCCAGGCTCCAAACCTGTATACCCAAACTGTCCGGGCCTGTCCTACCTAGCCTGCCTCCTCTCCTGTGCTCCTGATGTCATGGTACCGCCCCAGACGCCCCATCCCTGTCCCTTCCCTCACCCCGCACAGCCACAGTGTGTGGAGTCGGCCTCCTTCATATTTTGCAATTTGTCTGTTTCTACTGTTCCACCTCCCCTCATCCCCAAGGGCCTTCTCGATTTATCACCTTGACTAATGGCTCTGCCTCCCTGCTTCTTGTCCAGTTCTCTCCAAACTCAAGTTGGGACCAGTGTTCTCAAACCCTAGGCTGGGACTGGTGCACAGAATCACTTGGGAGCTCAGAAGGTGCAGAGTCCTGGGTTTCTCCCAGACACACTAACTTCCTGTCGCCAGGACCGGGTCCTGGAAATCTTTGTTTGCCAAACTCTTTAAATCTGAGAACCCCTCCCCCCTCCCTCTAGGTCTAAAGCAGACAGAATGAGCTTTTTAACAAGACTCTAATCATGCTCAGAATCCTTCAATGGCTCTTTACTGCTCTTGGACAGGACCAGCCACATAATTTGCAGACCCAGTGAAAAATGAAAATATTTTTTAACAAAAATTTTTGTTAAAAATTGTTTTAAAATCTTGTTAAAAAATTATCAAGAATTTCAAGACAGCAAGAGCAGAGCATTACGCCCAGCATGGGACCCTTCTAATGGTGATGCCTGTGTAATTACATAGACCACATGTCCACAAAACTGGCCCTGTTCCAGGAAAAAAACTATATCTCATATTCAGGGCCTTCACTCCTCTGGCCCCAGCCTGGATCCAACCATTTCTCTGTCTACATGCTGCCTGTGGACCCTTTGCTCTAGCCCCATGACTCCTTGCTGCTTCCCTAGTACATCATGTGCTCTCCCCTCCAGCCTTGGCTCATGGGGCTTTCCTAGCCCACACTGCCTCCAGTCCATCCTCACCCCCACTAGTGACGCCCTTCACCACCGATCACCACCTGTTGGGTCCTACCCGTGTTCAAGACCTTGCTGCTTCAGTCCTACCTCCTTGTGAATTCACGTCTCCCCTTGCCAGGGGCTTTGTGTGCGTCTGCTGCAGGATTCACACAGGCCATGTGATGTAGGTGCTCTTTGGAGCAACATCTAGCTCCCTCCCTGGGTAGAAGGTGGGTGGTGGGAGTGGGCTGGGTCTCATCAACTTTGGAATCTCCCAGGGCCGGAGGGTAGGAGGGAAGGCCAAGCTAGAGGTACCTGTACGTGCAGCTCATACACCTCTCTCCTGAGCTGGGCAGGGCTCTGCATGACAGAGATGACTCCAGACGTCTCATTAATTTCGAAGTCTCCGTTACTCCCTGGCAAGGGGGAAAGATGCACCCTGCAGTTGCACACACGGCCATGGGAGGCGCAGGGGAGCCAGGCCAGGCAGGCAGCCTCGTGCTCCTCAGGCATTCCCTCACTGAAGTGTCTATAGAATGTAATTCTATCATCTGGATCCTGCCAATGAGGAAACTGAGTTTCAGAGGGGCTAAGTTATTTGTCTAAGATTACACAGTGCGTGTACAGCCGGGACTTAAACTCACTTCTGAGTCTGGCTTTCAGGTTTCACAGAACTGGCTTCTCTTATGTGCCCTGTGTGTGCATGTGTGTGTGCACACGTGTGTGTGTGATGGCCAAGAGAGAGGGACAAACAGCCACACAGGTAGGAAGATAAGGAGGGGGAGAGAGAGGAGAGAAAGGGAGGGAGGGAAGAGGCAGAGGCTGCAGGAGGAGGAGCAGAAGAGGGAGAGGAGAGAAGAGATGGGGATGGTGGGTGCTGGGTAATTGTGGGAAGGCTGCAGAGGTGGAGGGGTGGGAACGAGGAGCAGTCAAGGGGGGTCTGTGCACCTGGGGAAAGGAGCCTGCTTGTGATGGTGCCACATTCATGCATGCGTGAGCTGCTGGAGAGAGAGAATGCACAAGGCATATCCTAGGGACAGGGCCGGAGAGGCGATGGGGTCTGAGTGAGAGCACACAGACATGCGCATGACTGTGATCAGACACCCACGCTGTGGGGACTGGCTACTGGGGGCCACAGAACCCACCCGGGGCCACCGTGACTGCTCAGTTGCTGCTCAGTTGTGCAAAGAACAGAGTCTGGGAGCCAGAAGACTTAGGTTCAAATCCAGTGGGAATGTGGGATGGCCCTTTAGCTTCTCTGAGTCTCAGTTCTCTCATCTGTATATAGGGCCAATAGTACGAAATGCCGTATCATCGTTGCATTTAATTCTTTTAATTCAACCATATGCTCTAGGCCAGAAATATAAAAGAATGAGAGGGGTGTCTACGTGGCTCAGTCAGTTAAGCGTCCGACTCCTGGTTTCTGCTCAGGTCATGATCTCAGGGTCACAGGATCGAGCCCCATGTCGGGCTCTGTGCTGGGTGTGGAGCCTGCTTAGGATTCTCTCTCTCCCTCTCCCTCTGCCCTTACCCACCCCTAAAAGAAAGAATGAGGGAAAAAAACCCAGCAACTTCAAAAAGTTACTCCCTGTTGCTAGACATAGTGACAAGCAGGAGCCAGAGCACATGCCCAAGAAGACTTGTCACCTCCTGGAGGGGCCCAACACCACCCGCCCCCCCCACAACACGTCTTGTACTTCTGGCTTTACAAATGAGGAAACTGGGACCCAGAGAGGTCTGGGCAGGTCACTCTGGTCACCCAGCAAGGAGGAGCTTTAGCCCAGCGATGGGCCTGTCCCCAAAGTCGCCCCAGACTCACCATTCAAGAGGCTGTAGAGAATCTGGTTGGGTTTGCCTCGATCTCCGTCCACGGCAACCACCATCAGTACGTCCGAGCCCTTGGGGGGACAGAAGCAGCTGCCTGAGACCAGTGCGTGATGCTGGGGCTCTCCCTTCCCCAGATACTTGCCCCCATCAGAGGGGAGGTGCCATGCCACCCAAGAAAACGGCCAGGCCTCTGTGTGGCCCCACACCTGCTCTACAGGGAGACCAGAGCACCCACTGGCTCCCAGAGCTGGAGAGACAGCCTGAGCCCTGCTTCTCCCCACCATTTCGGTTCACACATGGCCGCCCAGGGACATTCAGGCCCCCACAAGTGGGCCTCCGCCTCACACCCCTCCTTTCCCACACACCACACTCAGCTCTGGCCTCTACTATCCAGCCCTCAAGGCTCACCCTTGCTGCCTCATCCACCTTTTGCCTTCAGGGGTACAGGGAGGGAGTCAGAGACAGGTGAGAGAGGGGCTGGGCACAGAGGGGCCCAATGCAAAGTCCAGGAATGAGGACGCTCTCCTGGGGCCTCCAGCTGGGGTGCTGTTCGAAGGGTTTGGGCAGGGATTGCACAACTAACAAGCCTGCTCCACCTCAGCCTGCCGCGCCCTCCTAAGCCCCCTACTCCGGCGCTTCTCCTCGGCCTACCCACACTCGCGGCTGCTTCCTGTCTGTCCAAGTGCTGCCTGCTCTCCTTCAGCAACGCTTTCCACCCTTAGCTCCTGGCAGGACAGCTGGCCTCCCCCGGCCCTGCCTTCAGCCCCCACCAGAAGAGCCCGCCATTTCTCCCTCACTCTGCTCATCTCTACCTCGCAGCTACCAGCTTCTGGAGAAGCGGTATCGTAGCTTGCGCCCAGCATGTAAGCGGTCCTCAGTAAGTGCTTTCGTTATCTCATCAAGTCTAGAATCATCAGACCCAGGGAAAGGAAAATTGATAATGCAGTTCAGTTCCACAGAGTCCTTGAGCCGTGGCTGCGTGAAGTCTGGTTCCAGCCTGGTCTCGGCCTCCAGGGAGCTCACGGTCTGCCCGAGGTGAGGGGGCATGTAAATACATGGGTGTACCCTGAGGAGGGGTGTGCCTAGCATGGGAGCAGAGAAGAGGAGCTCCCATCTCAACCAAAGATGTCAAGGAAAACAGTGCCTGGGCTGGCCTGACAAGGGCATGGAGCGTCTGGCCCATGGGCCGGTCTCAGGCAGAGGCTAAGGACACAGTGGGGACATGGGCTGGGTGCTGGGAGGCTGGTAAGGACTCGGGGGTGGAGGGGAGGCCGGGCCTTAGATGCCAGGCCTGGGGATAGGACCTTCCCTGAGAGGCCTGAAGACAAGCATAGTCACCACAACACCAGGGGCAAAGACTGCACTGAGGGGGAGGAAGCTGAGGCCATCCTTGGAACTGGGCCTGCGGGACAACTACTGGTCTGAGCAACCCCAGGCTACGGGCTTGGAGCTGGGGGGCATAAAGGAATCGCACCCTCCTCGTCCACACAAGGTGTAGAAAGAGCCCCACCCAAACCAAGGCAATGGACCACCTTCCAGCCTCTCTTCCCAGCCCTTTTGAGGGCTGAACACTGGCAGCTGGATGAGAGTAAGTCTGAATGAGTGAAGAAATGCCTGTCACAGTCTTGGCGCCCAGCAGGTGTTCCACACACCAGCACCTGCTTCTTCCCCCTTACACTCCCACTGGCAAAAAGACAAGCTCATGCGCTGAGCCTGAGCCAGTCCCAGAGCCAGCCATGTGACGAGGGTGACCCAGGGCCAAGCCACAGGGGATCCCGGGGCCATGGTGTCTGGAGGGGACACTGGGCTAGGGGCCAGCCACCCACCGGAAGGGTGTCCTCATACACATAGCCGTAGTAGGGTGTGCCCACGAAGACAGGGGCCATGTCCTGCACGTCCTCCACATTGACCGTGACCGTGGTGGTGGTGGAGAACACCACGTCAGCCCCTCGCAGCTTCCCTCCGCCATCCTGGGGAAGAATCAGAGAGTGAAGGGGGGTCGGGCTCTGGGGGGCCCCCCCATTCAATCTGGCTTCTGCCACTTCCTGGCCTCGAGACCAGCTGCCCTATCTGATTTCTGTTTGGCCCTGTGTCACCTGGAGATCATTTCCGCCTCATAGGGGTTATTTAAATGAGAGGATGCGTGGACTCAGAAGTGTTCCTTTGGAAAAGAAGAATGAATTCTCTCTCCAGAGGAGGAGGGGTCAGAATATTCTCCCACCTGCCAGGAGCCAAGCCTCAAACACCTCCTGGGAACCTACTAAGAGCACGACTTGGGCCCAGCCCTCGCGGCGTATCGGGGAGGGGCTACGGGCTCCAGGGGGCTGGCCTGTGGCCAATATGTGACCAGCGAGGGCCTTTCTTTTCCTGGAAAAGAAAATGTTGGTCCCCGAGGGACAGCTGGGCTTTCCCGCCCTCAGGCGACAGAGCAGCCACCTTGGCTGAGCACCTGCTGACTTGCAGATCCCACACCACGCACTTTAGAAGTCTGAGGAACTCAGCTAAGCCTCATGGGTGGGCAGATAAGGAAGCCGAGGATCACAGAGAGGAACAGGTGAGGTGAGCAAGCCCAGGCAGAGACAGGGAGGTGCCTGGAGGCCAGGCTGTGGGGGATGTGAGGGAGCATGGGTCTCCAGGTCATGGCCACCTGGTCCTCCGGAGGGGAACCTGGCCTGTCAGTCCTCATGGGGCGTACACCCTCTTCCAGGAGGGAATATGCCCTCTCCAGCCCACGCACTCCAGCCTCGCTGGAGACTACGTCCATGTCCGGGCAGGGTCCACATCAACAGAGGTTCTGATCAGCCGCACCCCCACCCCCACCACCATCATATCTTCAGCCCTCCAAAGCGCCCCCACTCCCTTATAGAACCGAACTCTGTTCCAACCCCAGGGCAGCTTCCCTTGACAAAGGCTGAAGAAAGACCAGATGCTCCGCCTTCCTCCCTCTCTGTTACCTTGGCAACCACGGTGACAAAATGCACCCGGGCCTTCTCGTAGTCCAGCGTGGCCCCAGCCCGGAGGCGCAGCACGCCACTGTGGCGGTCCAGGGCGAATTTGGTGGTGTGCACATTCTGTAAGAGTGAGGGGCAGGCTGGTCCTCGGAGGGGGACCCAGGCCGGCCCAGGAATGGCCGTTTTGCTTACTGACAGGGGGTCTTCACTGTCCTTTGTCACAGGAACTCTGGCCTTGTGGTCCCCTCCCGTCCCTCAGCGTGCTCCCGGCAGGGCCCCGGCCTTCTTGCTGCCCAGCTTCCAGCTCAGCTCTGGCCTGGACTTTCTAGCAGGTAGACTTGGCAGCAGAGAGCTCTAACCTACAGGCAGTGGGGGCTCAGAAGCCACAGTGGTGGAGACAGCCTTCAGGATCTTCCCACCCCAGCAAGTAGGGGACTACGGGCCATTCGCAGGCAGCTTGGGGGATGGTGGAAGGTGGGTGAGGACAGGAGGTGATCCTCAAGCTGGAAAAGGGGTTACTGTGTGTCACGAGTTGTTGTGGAGTTTTACGTGTATTTAATCCCCACAAGAACCCGTGAGGATGGGCTTGGGCCGTTCCCGTTCGGCACGTGAGGAAGGAGAGCTGGGAGAGCTAGATGAGGGGTTGAAGGCCCCTGAGGAGGTGGCGGGATCTTTCCAGTACAGGTGGAGCCCGGGGATTCCTCCAGGACCCCTGTTGTCAGCCACCGGGTGGTACTGCCTTGACAATTGTGAGAGCCCGGGACTAACCTCTGAGGGCCGAGGAGCAGCCACGGGGGTGCAGCTGTGAGAGGCGTGGCTGGTTCCTGAGGAGCCCAGGGAGGAGGACGAGGTGCGGGAAGGGGGTCTCTGCCTTTGATGGGGTTGGGGGGATGGAGAGGGGTGGGGCGGGGCTGTCACTGCTCTGTTCCTCCTGACAGATCCCCCTCTGTCCTTTTCCTCGCCACAATTCCAGGCCCAGGCAAGTTTTTCTACCCTGTGTGGGTGCAATGTGCCCGGCCCTCTCCTGGGGAAGGGATTTCAGTGGGGAGAGCTGAGGGTCCTGGACACCCAGGGAGAAGGTGGCAGGGAACCAAGAGGGAGCCAGGGTGGGCCGGTCAGGGGAAGACGGCTTCCACCCACGCTCCTCTCATGTCCCCACCAGCCCAGCCCAGCCCGGTGGACCTGAAGTGATGTCTTTGACAATCTTTGGGAATAGTGGAGGCTGACTCAGGGCCTTGGTGATGGAGGTGGTGGCCCTCCAGGTGTCCCCTCTAGCCCAGGCCTCTGGTAAGGACCTTACCTGCAAGAAGTAGGTGACAGCCCCTCCAGAGCCTGTGTCCTTGTCCAACGCATGCACCTTAATGATGCTGCTCCCAGCAGGTATGTCCTGAGAGGTCACAGCGATAGTGGGGGGGGGGGTCAGTCCTGGGACAGTGACACAATGCTCAGGGGACTGGGGGTAAGGGAGCCATAGAAAGGTGGAGCCAGGGAGTGAAGGGCTAAAAAGAGGTGAAAAGGTGATGATTAACAAGGGAGCACCCCACTGGGGGAGAGGCAGCCGTGGAGGAGATGTGCCAAAGTCACAGTGGGTGCAGGGAAGAAGGAAAGGGGAAAGAAGGGAGCAAACAGACATCCTCCAAAACTAAGACTCCAAATAGACAAAGGGTTTAAATATGAAATGGAGAAATGGTTAATAGACACATTCCACATAACCAGGGATCACGTACATACCATTCAGAGCCAAAATGGAGTATCTTTCTCCTACTGAATTAGCAAACATTAAAAAATTCGAGAATCCCCAATGTTGGTGAGGGATGGGGAGACAAAGCCCCTCCCACATCCTAGGGGAGAGAGCCAGCAAGGGCTACTCAGGCAGCTCATGCTCTCAGCCTCGTCATTTCACGTCTTAGACCAGATCTTAAGGAAATCATTCTAATTAGCTATATGGAGGTTTTATGTTAATGTTCAGAATTTTACGTTTCTTATGACAGCAAAAATGTAAAGCATCTTAAATATCCAAACGTAAAGGACTAGTTCAGTCAATGATGGAATATGCACTAAATGGAAGCTATTAAAATGACAGTTAGCTAAATTTTACAATTACTGAGGAAATGCTTATGTTGTAAATTAAGTGAAAAACAGCATACAGAAAGTGTATGTTTAGTATCATCACAGTTATGTAAATAAAACAAAATAAATCCAGTAATCCCAACATAACGTGAAAGAACAGCACCAAAATTTGACAATGTTGTCTCAAGCTGGAGGGATTGAGGGTGATTTTTGAAACACATTTTTTTCTACTCTTCTATATATTTCACATTTCCACAATAAACATACATTATGGTTTTAACGGAAAATGGTAAATGGACACTCCTGTGGATAAAAATGGATGTGTGAGGGGATGGCAACAGAGGTGAGGGGAGGCCATGGAGGGGAGGGCTCTCCGGAGGGCAGTGAGGAGGTGCTCTTCACGCTGGGGCCGGTCTCCTGGGGCAGGTCACAGGGCAGCCCAGAGGGTCGGGAGTGCATCAGGGTGGGAATGCATGGGCTCCACCTAGGGGCCTCTTGCTTACCTCAGGAACCTGGACAACGTAGGGCTCCTGGATGAAACTGGGGGCCTCATCATTAGCATCCGTCACCAGGATCGTGACTTTTTCTGCCACCTGAGAAGGGGCAAAGGGGACAGGAGTTGAGGCTGTCTCCAGAGGCCCCGAGAAGAGGCATCTAGCCTAGCCAGTGGTTGGGACAGCAGGGAGGCTTCACAGAGGAGTGAGATTTAAGCTCTGCAGGAGTTTGTCAGGAGAGAGGGAAAGAGGTGGAAAGGTATGCCAGGAAGAAGGAACAGCACATGCAAAGGCAAAGAGGAGTGATATGTATGGCGAGTTCAGAGGACATAAGCAGATTTGGGGCTAGATGGTTGGGAGAGTGAATATGGGAGAGAAGGTGGGCGAGGCAGATAGTGCCGAATGGGGAGGCCCTGAGTGCCAGACTAGGGCTTAGACTGCATCCTGAGGGCAGTGGGGCCTGCTGTGAGTGCTTTCACAGCCGGCTCTGGCCAGGTCTAACGTTTCACGGTGATGGCTCTGGCTGAACTTCAGAGATGGATTGGGGTCAGGTAGCCTGGAAGCTGGGGAACCTCTGAGATCACCCTGGCAAGCAATGATGAGGGCCAGGTGGAAGTGGTGTCTGTGGGGAAGGAGGTGAAGGGGCAGCTAGGTCTGGGTGACTGGGAGGAGCTGGTCGGAGGAGGCAGATGGGAAAGCATCCCCACTGGCCTCTCCTGGTGCAGCCCTGTCCTGGGGGCACATTGGAGCAGATCTTGCTGGGCCTCGGCTTGGATTTGCCAGAGAGCCCCTAGGAGGGAGAAGGAACTGTGGGCAAGCCCAGGGAGCGAGTACTGCCAGGGGGCTGGCTCAGGGGCGCACTTACCAGATTCACGCCGTCTGAAATGCTGATGATGGCCTCGATCTCATCCTCCCTCTGTAAAACATAAGGATTGAGTGAGTGCCTGGGAGTCTGATGTACCTGGGGACCCTGAGGCTGGTGGGGGGGGGAGGCTCTCCCTGCCCCGACGGAGCCCACCAGAGCAGACCTGGGCATTTCAAGGGAGCCCTGGTGCAAGGCAGGGTGACCAAAAGCTGCCTCTGGCCGTGCTTGAGACCTTGTCTCAGCCCATCAGAGGGTCTCAGCTCATCAGAGGTTCTCATAAACCCCCAGTAGTATTAAGGCACAGAGAGAGAATGTTCCGCTGCTAGAATGAGGACAGATGCTAACCTAGTGTGCTGGATGTCCCAGGGAGCTGGGGTTTCCTTTTTTTCTTCCTTCCCCTCATCTCTCCCACACCTCTCTGTATTCCACGGTCCAGATCTGCAGTATCTCAAGCACTCCCTAGCCCATGGTGGGACCTCAGTGAGGAAGGGTATTGAGGTCAGCAGGCCCCCAGGAGTGCTGGGGAGGGGTACACGATGACACTTTCACCTCAGGGTCCCTACAGCAGCCTCTGAGACCCACTTTTCCTTTCTCTACCCTGGCCCGCAGCGGGTGGAGTCGGTCATCGGACCAGAGCTGGAGGTAAGCCCATGGTGGAGGTCCAGTAAAGTGGTCCGCGAGGCCCACCAGCCTGGTGTGGGGTCTCAAAAGAGAAATGTAGCTCAGGCCCTGGCACCCATAGGTTCAGAAAGGTGCAGAGGGATGGAGGAGTGGAGGTTTACCAAACTCAGGTCCACTCTCTAAACCACTCTTTCCCAGGCTGGTTCAGTTAGTAGAACATGCGACTCGTTATCCTGGGGTCATGAGTTCGAGCCCCATGTTGGATGTAGAGCTTACATTAAAAAAAAAAAAAAAAAAGACTCTTTCTAGCCCTGATCTGCTGTCAGTGTTCTGTGGCTTACAGGACCTCTCCAGGGATGACCTCTAGGGAAACTTCCAGCCCTCAGAGGTTTGTATGCACACCTGGAAGACAGCACTACTCACACCTCTCCATACCTCTCTGTCCAGCTCTTCAACCAAGGTGATGTTTCCGAAATTGGGGTCAACAGAAAAGACACTTCTAGCGCTGGGGTCAAAGCTGATGTGGTAGGAGACAGGGTCTCCCTCGGGGTCTGTCCCATTTAGAGTATATACATGAGAACCTGGAAGGAGACACAGAAGGGGACACTAGACTCTGGGACCCAACCTTTCCTAAAAGTGGCATCTGTTCAGGACCAAGCTGTTGGTCCTGTTCAGCTGTTTATAAGGTGGGTATTCAATCCAGTGCTAAAAGTCCCGCCCTGAAGTGAGCATTGGCTGCAGGCCTCAGCCCTGTGGGCTGCTTCCCACCCTCTATCATTACTCTTCATAACTGTCAGTGAGATGTTAGTATCAGCCACTGTATGATTGTAATCCATAATACAGATTACAGAGGAGCTTCAGGTCTGCTGTGCCTAACTCCAGGGCCTCTGTCTGGTATTGATTCCTGTCCCAGGAGCCAAGACTGGGGTTCCTTGGGTATGGGGGATGGGAGAAAAGGGAGGCAGCATTAAGACAGGAGGGGTGACCCATGGTGCAGCATCGTGCCCCCGTGTCTGGATTAGTTCTTCAGGGACTTCTGAGTAGGTGCATCTTTTACACTGCTATCCTTCTGCTCAGGGTTCCCAAACAAGACAGGGAGAGAGAGAGGGAAGCAGGGAGAATCTCCTCTTTCCCCTTCACCCTTTCTCATGCATATCCCAGCAAGCTGGATGTTCTTAGGCCTGTTTAAAGCCTCCCAGCTCCGAAGCTCCAGGAGGTAAGTATATTTGCTCAAGGTCACAACAGTGAGTAAGGGGTGGTGCTGTGGCCAAGCCTAGGGGTTATTATCACGCTGCCAAGTGCTGCCTGCTGTCTGGGTGTGGCCCTGTCTCTGGGGCCGCAGCCGGGTCTCCAGGACTGGCCCGGCTTAGGTCTCCATGATAGCCGTGACCTCCTTTCCTGCAACTGCCCTGGGGAATCCAGAGTGCAAACAGGGCGCCCTGGGAGGGCTCACAGCCTGGCACTGGGTGTCTCCATAGGCTCAGAGGAGTCACGGGTTCAGTCCTTGTGTCCAGGGGAACGTGGGCCACCCTCCGGGAAACCAATAGGGGGCTGGGGCCAGGGCTACTCACCTACAGGGGTGTCCTCTGGGAGGCTGAACAGGGCCATGTTTCCGTTGGTGCTGCCCACCCCGTTGTCAAAGAAGTGCGGGGCGAAATTGGCCTGGGCTAGGAAGAGAACAGGCAGAAGCACAGACACAGGGTGGGACAGCTTCACACCTGCATGGTCACACGTCTGGTCCTAGTCTGACCAGGCTGGCCGTCCCCTCCCCAACCCCAGCACACCGACAGACTGGGCTGGGAGCTGCAGAGAGGGTCTCTCCACCACCACCTCCTCCGGCTCAGGCTTGGCTGGGACTTGTCAGGGGCTCGCACCATCTGGGGCACTTAGAACCCAGGCAGTGGCCAATCTCAACCCACCAATGGACAGACTGGGAACCCCGTGCCCAGAGAGGGGCCGTGCCCTGGCCAAGGTCACACTGGGAGCTGGGACACCCTCCTCTGCCCCAGCAGCCTTCAGAGCAGCCACCAAACCTCCCACCCTGCTTCTGAAGAAGCCGAGGGCAGCGGGGGTCCTGGCGCCAAATCGGGGGTCTCCAGGGTACCTGCCAA